AAAAACTATAATATTGAGAAAACTTCATCAGAACTGCTGACCAAGTTTTAAAAAGTCTCATGCATAATTTTTACTTATAAAAATGTTTAAATACATTTTTATTTTATATTGTATAAATACATGCTATTTTTAAGAAATGAATATATTCATTGTTGTAATATTTGTATTTTAATAACTTCAAAATAAACTCAAGATAATCTGCTTAAATACTGTCATGGAATGTTAACCAAGTAATTCTATTAAATCATTAACTCATTTACATGTTATTCTTAAATTTACTTCACATCTCTAGGAAGACTAGATTATCAAGTCATCTTGGATCATAAAACTACTGTTTTGCTGACATAGATGCACAAAGAAAATCAAGGTCTCTTTTTAGAAAGGTAATTATATTGTAAAAAAAACAGAGAGGTAGGTAGCTTCCAATAATTCTGTACTTCCAAAAGAAGGGCAGCTTACTATTAAAAGCACCATGTCTTTATGTCCCGTATGGTGTTTTTAATAAACTGAATTAAAATTTTTTAAAATAATGACATCCTGCCTTTATCAAAGTTGACAAAAATAGCAAAATATAATGTAAATGATTAGAAGATAATTATTAAAATACAGCTAAATGTAACCGAAAAAAGTTTTTTTTTCCTAAATGAAAAAACCTTTCATTGAAAGGTACACAACAGTCCACCTATGAGGGTGAGAGAATACAAAAGCTAGGACAGGATAAGGCAGTATGGCTGCTGACCGGTATTAATGACCTCCCTAACATATTTATAAGATTAAGTCCTGCCCTACTTTCTAAAATATTGCATAAAGAGACTTATACTTACCTCTGGTGGTGGTTCCTGATCATTCTTCCAAGATGCATCTGATCCCTTATCCCTGGGTGGGGTGGGGTAGGGAATCAAAAAAGTATTTATCACAATTCTGCTTATAACTTAAAAGTACAGAAAGTAAAAAGTAAAGGACACGAATTCAACCTTTAATTTTGCAATACACTTATGTTGTCTTTTCAAAAGATATGGGAAGCTCATAAGAAAAACAAAAGTTGGGCAAATATAAATATTAGGATTAGGGAACTGGAATGAAAAGCCAAGGCTATGGTGCGTAGAGGAAAGGAGATGGGCAGTTCTGATTTTCATGATATTCGCAGTTTTCATAAAACTTAGTTTAAAAAAATGCTTATTTCACACCAACTGTAATTGGAAGTTGTCTCAGGTACGAAGGACACAAAAATGACTATAGGGCATTACCTTTTCAAATATTTTACAAGTTTTACAAGATATCAAAATGAATTCTTTTCTCCTCAGTTTACCTGAAGAGTATCAACAATCCTCCATGAGTAACCAAGGTTTATTCCAACACTGATTCTCAAAGCAGAGAGGGTCAAATAAAGGCTAACTATGAATAATTTGAGGAAGAGGAAGAGGAGCTGCTTTAAAGATTCTAAAGGACAACGTAATGACCGGCATATGTGAAATGTGTAATAGCAGCTGAAAAATCAACAATTTTTGGTGGAGAGTTTTACACTTTACAACCAAAAAGAATTTTACACTTTACATCCAAAGAGAATTTTACTCAAGTGAAAACCATTGTTAAGAAATGGTAATAATATTAAATACTAATACTAAAATAGCAAGTATATTAAAGAAAGTATATAATGAAAAAAAATACTGAACTAAAATCAGAAAATGCACATGGCTCAAATGTTCTTTTAACGGCTCATCATTTCATTTTCTGCAAAAGATATGAGTTCTACCCTACAAAAGTGATAATAAATTGTAGGCTTCAGAGATGTTACTGGGAAGATAAGTGAACTCTTTGGAAGACAGACACAATATAACTATAAGGAATTACTATCACAGAGAATTATTCTTAAAATATAAACATTAGGTAAGCGAAGAACAACATGCCAGCAAAGTACTTACTGTTTAAGTTTTTCTGTGAATATATACTGGGTGAAATCTTTCATTGATGGAGCAAAATACATAGTCTCCTTTATTTTAATACCTTTACTTTCAATGTGATCTGAAGAATTAAACCGTAAGACATAAAATGGATGTGCAACAGGTCCAAATATCTCAAATATCTATAACAGAAACATAAAGGCCTCTTTTAACACGTATTGAAAAGGTAGCAATGTTTTCTTTTTAAAATGCCACTGATAATTGCTAGAACAACGTAATTTTGTCAGTGATAGGGCAACAAAATAATTTATTTATGTTTGTCATTTTTACATATTCAGTCTTCATATACTAATTAAAATGCATTAGCTCATTCCAGATTCCCAATCTATTAATTTAAAACAACTGTAACAAGTTTGTTTCTCACAAATTCAAATCATTTGGTGGTACCAACTAGATGCAAATTATAATTTTGATTTTTAAAAATTATTGCTCATTTAAGTTGTAAAGTACAAAGAAAAGGATTATGATTGGTAACTTTTGAGAAATAACACATTGTATGCATTTGGAATCATCAGATTGGAAATATAAAGACAAGCTTCTGACTTCAATAGGTGTTAAAATCACTTTTGCTGTTTACATAGTGTTAGAAATTTTGTAATATTAAAGACTTTTTCTAATTTAACAAATAATAGAGAAGTTACTTATCTCCACAAAACAAAAGATGGTGCGGCCTTTAACATTTAACTAAAATAACTATTTTCAGCAGAACTACCTATGTTATTTCTGAAAGCATTTTATCAATGATGAAAGGAAGACTCTTGGTTTCAAACTTTATTTTCTTCTCAAAATTACCTGAATTAAAAAATATGTTTTCTGATAACATATGTGTATTATAGAGATAAGGCCATGGCCCATATAGATTTTTCCAGTCTTTTTTCTGTAATACATATTTTTTTCTTTAAGACTATATTGTACTTTTATATACTGCCCCCTTTTAAAACCTAAAGTTGTTCCATGTTACATTCTTTGTAAGTAAAATTTTAGCAATTATAAAATACCCCTTTACAGATCCAGCACAACTTATTTAAGTTTTTTTGTAGGACATTTAGGTAGTTTCCAATTTATTCAACATAATATATGATGCCATGATAAATATCTTATATATCAATGTCTATACTTCAGATTTCCTAAAAATCGATTTTTAAGGAGAAGTATTGAAGCTGAAAGTATGATAATTAACACTAAGGTATAAAAGTTTTAATGGAAATACTAAATAGCTTTCTAAATAGCTTGGACCAATTTATACCAACTGCATTAAAAGTGGCTGTTTTATCACATCCTCAGTTCTTGATTTTTGATAATAAATATTCTTTACATTTTATGATCTTTAGTAGAGCACCAAAGCTTTTATTAGTTTTCACTAAGGCATAAAACAGCTCACCTAGCAGGACACCACCATTCTGAAGGTATGTATACTCTAAAAACAAGTAGTGACATTAAAAACAATTAAAATGTATTATGAAATAACACTAATAGCATCACAAATTTAAGACATTAAATAAATTTAAAAGCAAAAATATTTAAGAAAATAGCAAGACATTTGCTTTGAGAGGTTTAGATAAATCCAGTAGACCTCGTCCAGTGAAAGCTGTGAAGGACGGAAGAGCTGCACTGCAGCACCACTCTTATCAGCCTACATGACATGAGAGTAATCTTACTTTCACTTAGAATTGTCTTTAAAACAATTCACAAATTTAAGTCCCTCGAATATAGACAAACCCAATTCTTTGTTGGCACAGAGACTTAATAACACCTTTTAAAAAGTTTCCTATGTATCCATTAATAGAAGGTAAAATAATCATTGTTTGCAGCCTGGTACACTGACTGTTTCCCAGGGATTTGTTTCCTAGATAGCATGAATCCATTTCCTAAGTGTGAAAAATGATGCCAGTAGAAAAATTCCTTGCAAATTTCAGGTCTCTGCAGTATGGTTTAAACTAAAATATAAGTGATATTCAAAATTCTTGGACAAAAGAAAAGCATAATTTTTTAGTTGCCTGTTACTAAGACCTGAAGTGTTTATGAGCTATAACTACAATGAAATCATTATAAAGTTTTAAGTAAAATAACACCACAGACAGTAGGTAACAGGAAGCCATAAAATAGACAGTATGCGGCTTGAGCCACTAACAAAAGGTATGTTACAGGAAAACTTGACCGAGTTCACATAAGCAATTTAGCTACTTCAGAGTAGAAAAGAAGAATTTAACAATATTTTAAATAACTATTAGCCTCCGAGTGTAGAGTTTAGATTGACTAATACCTGAGAGCTAAACTGTAAAGAGCAACTTAAGACACAGCAAAGATCAGGCCAGCCCACTTCTCCTCATACAGCTCCATATGAGGCACCTGTGTCCCTGCTCAGTCAGTCCACCCAACTTAGGGGATTTTGTGACTTCCATACTACCTGATTCAAGATAAAAGCAAAGGAAGTAATAGTTTGTAAGGAGAGGATAAGAAACTGAATTTGGAAAAGTAGCAGCTGAGACCTATACTATGAGGTGGACAAGCAGCTTTCTTTTTATCTTTAAAAATGGAATTATTCTGTAGAAATGTTCATATAAAAATTTAATCCAGCTGATGCTTTATACTTGCCCTGCCACTGAGAAAAGGTTTTCTAAGTATCCTTTCACTTGGCTCTAGCAGATAATACTCATCATTTTTTACTCAAAGTCATTATATTTTTGCTACAAGATCTCCAAGGATTCCTATCACACACAGAAGTTAACAAACACCATGACAACAACATGGTACAGATATAATGTAGGGTCTGTTGGGAAAAATAACTGACAAGCAAAGAAGATATAGAGTGCATGCAGTTCCCCAAATTCCATCCCAGCATAGGCTGGGCTTAAATGTTCTGTAAGCACCATGGCAAAAATTTCAGCAGCGTGGAAGACCTGTTTGAGCCAGCAGGCTAGACGTGCACAGACAATATTCCAAAATGGAGAATGAGCTGTATTCTCCACCTCCTCTCCACACACACACCATGTCACAAACTTATGAGTTATCTAGAGGGGACTAGGTAACTTCCAGTTTCTCTATTACCTAGCGGGGACTAGGTAACTCCCAGTTTCTCTAAGTAACAAGAAATACATCAAGGAATCTCCAGGCCCAGAACAATGCTGGCAGGCTGTGCCTGTGAAGGGCCAAGATCTGCATGCTACCACCTGGAAGCAGCCCTCAAAGACTGTCTCTCCAGGTGAGCCAGCTTTGGGCTAAACTGCCAAAGGGGAAAGGAAATGAGGAAATGAACCTTTACAACTATCCAACATGGTCTTTTATCAATCACTTTGTACTTTTTCACTTTCCATTAACAAAAATGAAGAAAATACAGACGAATACAACATTCTAATCCATTAGTTAGGTAAACTAATTATTTCAATCACTGTGTATATTACTGTATCCCAAGTTACCTTGAAATATGTCATGAGAACTAAGGCAGTGGGGAACACTGCATCAATATAGAGTCCTCTAGAAAAATCATCATATCCTACCAAACAAGACAATCTTTTAAAAAGAAATCAGTAAAAATTCCCTACTCAGTGATATATGAGAAGGAAACAGATTACACTAGTTATTAAGAACTAGCAATTATTAGGATTAAAGGGCAAATGTAGGAATAAACATCTGAGACCGTCCTCCCTAAATCAGTAGGGAAAGCAAAGGGAGGCGGAAGGGAAATGAACCTGGGTTAGCAATCTCATCCATTTCAGATTTGTGACTTTTTAGCAAGGTTTCCTAAGTTTTAAAATAAAGGTAATTCTACTTCCTTTCAGGGTTTCAGTGAACTTAAAAAGTTAAACAACATAAATACCACTGTGGCTGATTACTATTGTGTTACTAAAGAATACAGGGAAAAGATGTTCAATGGCTCGCTACTGAAGGTAAAACTAATTTAGTATTTAGATAACGCATGTTAATAAACTAAAAGGTATTCAGTTTCATATTCTGGTTATTGGTTTGTTTAACAGATACTTTCTAATCTTCTCTACTCTCACTACTATTTTGGGGAATCATTTCAAGGTACTCAGATTTATAATCAAGTATTTTTGAAAGACTTGTCACAAAGTCTTTCAAAAGCATTTATAAAGCATTCTATGTAAAATTTAGAAATAGATTTTTTGCCAACAGGCTTATATATAACTAAAGTTAAGAGTTGTAAATGTTGTATTTTTATCTGACTTCTTTCAAAGCTAAATGACAGTTAAATATTAATATTATTAGCCACATTGTAGTGGGAAATAAAAAAAATATCTGTTTAGAGGTTTTAGTTTAGCAAAGTGTTGAGTATTTTCAGGTGAAAATTTCTAAGCTAGGTACTAAGAAAAAAAGACAACTGTCATGAAAATCACAAATAGCTCATCTTATTTTTTTGTATTCAACTAAATATATACTTACTTGGCACAAATAATTTATAAAGAACTGCACTAGGTACAATGGGGAATATCAAGGTGAATAAAACTGTCCCTATTGCCAGGAAATACATACTTACTTGGTATTTATATTCTTGATTTTAGAAGGTTTTATGTCTTCAGCCAACCAGTCAGAATTGCCTACTTGCTGGGTAAAGTGCACAGTGTTCTGTATTAAGGTGGACATGCAGGGTTGTTCCATTAGAAAGACGTTAAAAGGGACCAACTCTTACAGTAATTACTAGAGTGCACATATTTGTAATTCCCCAGTATATGCTTACAGTGACAATTCACTGCTGAAGTGAAATATTTTTCCACTTAGAACTAAGATTCCACGGCGAACTTCCGTGGAAGTCAAAGTCTGAAAGTCTCAGAGCCACTCTTCAAAGGGACTCAAAAGCCAAAAATGGTTAAGGGCTACTATGCTATGGGAAATCTTCACTCAGCTGAGTATCTGGAGGGTAGGAAACGATGTGTTATTCATTATTTAGACTCACTGCCTAGCAAATTACCTGACAAACACTAGGAAGGAATTCTACACATGTACATTTAATAACTCATGCAGCGAAGAGTAATAATCAGTATTAACCAATTTATAGGCAGACATAAAGTACTGAAGAAAATCAAGAACGTACTGAAACTTGAGAGGTCTAGATTGTCCATCAATTAAAATCAATACACTTTCTGAGAGCTGATGGGGAAAGTCAGAAAAACCAACCAAGAAATAGAATAATTTGTAAGAATTGAAATTTTTTACAAACCTTTCCTGCTGCTTGTCGATCACTTTTAAAAATTACAGTCTCCTCATTAACTGGAGGTAGGTTAGTCATAGATTCAATTATTACTGAAAAATAAAATAGATTAAGATTTACTTACAAGAGAATATAGAATTTAATACAAATCTAAGCTTTAATTCCAACATAATTTATAATAAAATTGAAGATGGGATTAGTTACCTCATTAACTATTTCTCTTCAGTAAACAAAATCTTACTACCAAACAGCGCTGGGAAATGTTTTATAACTATTTTTAATACAAAAAGCTACAATTCTAAGAAAAAAAGTAAAATACAAATTGCACAGAAAATCTGAATCATTCACTAAAGAGTCAACAAATTCAAGCTATGTACATATTCTCAAGTAAATTTTACCAAAATAGTGTAATCATATTTAGTCCTAAAACTCCTGTTTTAAAAGAAATTTGTCTCCTTTCTCACTCTTAAATTCTTTTCTACAAAGCATTGTTAAGTTACAGGTATACGAAAAAGTTAAATAAAAGCTTCACAAAAGCATCTTCTTAAGAACAGAAGAAGTGCCGGGCGCGGTGGCTCAAGCCTGTAATCCCAGCACTTTGGGAGGCCGAGGCGGGTGGATCACGAGGTCAAGAGATCGAGACCATCCTGGTCAACATGGTGAAACCCCGTCTCTACTA